GGGAATATGGACACTATTTACTAATGGATCCAACAATTTTAGAGGAACATGCCTAAGGATCATACTAAAATCACCACAGGGGGACATCATACCCCAGGCAGTCAGCTATGAATTCGATGCAACCAACAAAGAGGTTGGATACGAAGCACTGATCATGGGACTATAGTTGGCAGAGGATCTTCAAATAAAGGATCTTCAAGTATTTGTTGATTCCTTATTATTAACTAATCATTTAAATGGATCATGTGTAGTAAAAGGCGAAAGACTAGCACTATGCCTCCAGATCCTCAAAAAATTAGCTTCTGGATTCGAAACTTTTAGCCTAAGTCAAGTTCCCAGGGAAGAAAACGTTGAAGTAAACACATTGGCCAACCTAGGATCTTCCCTTAGGATCCCGCCAAAAATCAGGATCCTTATAACCTATATATTGATTCCAGAAATAGAAGATCCCTCCAACAAACCAGATAATCCTAAATGACCATGATCAAGCAGCCAACATAGCAGCAATCGAAGATCCTAATCCTCAACAACTTCCTCAAGATCCTAACCATCAGGATCCTCTTTAAAGTTTGAAATCATGGATCCAACCCACCGTTGAGTGTCTTCAGAATGGTACGATCCCAAGAGAAGACAATAGAGCATTTCAGATGAGGGTGTCACACTTCATGATGATCCAAGGGAATCTATATATGAAATCTATGGCTTGAGATGCTTCAAAAATCATGAAGCTATCGAAGTATAAAATGACATAAACGAAGGATATTATGGTAATCATGTTGGGGGCAGATCCTTATGCTCTAAAGTATTAAGGATATGGTACTACTGGGAAACGATGAAAAAGACGCCTTCTTATACGAATAAAAATGCGATGCTTTTCAAAGGCATAACAACATCCTTCATTAACCTACAGAACCATTACATTATATCATTTCCCTTTGGCCATTTATGAAATGGGGAATGGATATAGTTGGCAAGTTACCGAGAGTTCCTGGTGGAAAGGTCTTCATTCTAGTAATGACAGACTATTTATTGAAATGGATAGATGTTGAAGCCTTTGTTCAAATACAAGACAAGGAAGTAGTCTCATTTATCAAATGAAATATTCTGACCAGGTTCGAGATCCCTACAGAGATCATATGCGACAATGGATCCCAATTCATAAGCAAAAGGGTTCGAGACTTTTGCATGAAATGGATAATTAAAAAGATAAGTCCACTACCGTTCATCATCAAGCCAATGGACAATTTGAATCCAACAACAATATCATGGATAATTAAAATGATAATGTCCACTGCCGTTCATCATCAAGCCATATCTCATCGATTCAGAAGCAGGAAAGTTGGCATATTGTCTAGCTTCCTTTGAGGTAAATGTCTTTCCAAGATCCTGGAATGCTATACGTCTAAAAGCATACTTCAAGTAAGTTGTAATAATCATTTTTCAACAAACTCAAGGTACACACTCTCTACCCGTTACTTTTATCTAGTTCTTTCGTTTACTTATTTCAAAAGCATTACTGACTTAAGCATCGGAGGGGCGTTATCCAAGCTAACGCCTATCCCAAGCTTATGTTTGCAACGTGTAGGAGTCTAAGGATCCTAAGAACCACGAATAGAGGCTGATCATCTCTCCTACGATTACGGGTACTTAATCCCCTCTATGGTTTAAAGAGTTAATAACCTCATTCACACGAGTTAAGGTTTCTACACGTCACTTGGACGCATTATATCTGACTGTGGGATGTGGATAAAGGGATCATTTCATGCTTTGGTAAGTTGGCAACCCTCTTATTTCTGAACATATGTTAAGATCCTAAAATTTAAATCTAAGGTTTATAGCATTAACATGTTATCTTAAGTTGGGATTTTCCCTAGTAATTTGCTAAGGTTTATAACACTAACGTATTATCTTAAGTTAGGATTTTCCATAGTAATTTGCGAAGTTTTATAACACTAACATGTTTTCTTAAGTTGGGATTTTCCACGGGAATTTGCTAAGGTTTATAACGCTGAAGTGTTATCTTAAGTTGGGACTTTCCCTAGTGATTTGCTAAGATTTATAACATTAACATGTTATTTTAAGTTGGGATCTTCCCCAGAAGATGTCTATGGCTTATAGCATTATCATATTGCAAAATGGATCCTTTCTAATTATATCTGAAGTTGGGATTATCCCCAGTTGTTTCCTAAGTTGGGATCCTCCCCACTTTACTAAGTAAAAGACAAACAAGGATCTTCTATGATGAACTCCTAAAACAAGAATCCTTCCATATGCAAACTTCAAGATCATGCAAAACTAAGGGAATCATAATTTCAAACTTCTCCCGAGTCAAGAAATTATAAATCCTAAAGATCGTCAGGTTCTATCTATCCTTTAAAATTATTTTTTCCTATGTAATGATTGAACGTTTATTATCCTAAAATATCTTAACTATTTTAAGATCCCAAATTGGTTAACTATTTTAGGTTATTCTAATCTTGAGAGTTCTTGTAAAGACTGAACTCTTTAGGATCCTGATCACATAAGGATCCTCAGAAGAACTATAATCATGTCAAATATTTCAACCACATAAGCAAGAATATGAAGCAACCATTATAAATTAAAGGGGGCTGCAAATTAACCCCACCAAAAAAGAAATATTAGTTTACAATAATTATTTAAAATATTTCCTTCAAACTAGGCCTAAATCGTAGACTGGTTATCATCGCCCGAAGCTTTTTCCTCTTAACCTGCCTTTTGTTGCTGTCCTTCAGGATCCTGACTGGTGTTAACAGGCTTACTAGTCAATTTGGCTAGGGTTTCACGCCAGCCAACCAAATTCCAGATCCTACGTTGGCCACGTCTTCATCAAGCTCAACCTTTACCTCCCAGACGGCCACACCAACACTTCTCTTCACCTCGATGATCACTTCATCAATCTTTGTAGCGTGGTCTTCATCCTCCTTATCCTTCTCGTTGCTCAAGAGCTCCACCCTTTTCAAGAGATCGTCATTAGTTTCTTTCCATGCCTTCTCTTGCTCCTTAAGAGCTTGTTCAACCCTCTCAGCCCAAATCCTCAAGTCAGCAAAGATATGGTCAGAGAACTAAAACAAAAAGGAAATCAGGAACAGTGAAAAGAAAACCTGAAAAGCGCAAATTGCAAAACACGTATAGCTTGAGAAAAAGAAAAGAGCTTCCTAAGAGCCTCCTCGGGTCCAAGGTATTCGAGGCACAAATCCATAGCTTCAGCAGTTTTTCTCTTCCGGGATCCCGGAGTCTTCATAGCCAGGTCGATATGGGACCTCTTTGAGGCGAGGGGAGGAAACCTTTTCTCTCTATACAAGCAACTGGCCACTTTCCATTGTTGTGTCAAGGTCAGAAAGGGAGAAATAAGCATTAGCGCGTGTGGCTCTGGATCCTGGAAATAACAAAGAAATCTGTAGGATCTTGCAGGACAAAAAAAAGATAGAAGTAATCAAGGATCCTTACCTGAAGTCATGGGGACGATGACAGTTAAACTTTCTTGGAAGCTAGGATGATAGCGACTGAATGTTCTATCAATCTCGGGCAGGGCAAGGAAATTCTCAATCGTGTCTACAGAATCTTCAGTGGGAGGAATTAACTTGTCAAACTTGAAAGCTGCAAAAAAAATCAAACAAAATAAGAAGTGTGAATATCAAGATCCTTAATATAAAAATATGAAACCCTACCCTTTTTTACCCAAGACTGTGGTAAAAGATTTCCACCAAGAATCGAGTCACGTTTCACGAAGAAGTATTTCCCTTTCCAAGCACCATCGTTATGTTTGGAGTTCAAACTGAAGGGTGATTTATCAGTCTTAACTTTCCACAAGAAATGAGAGTTCCCAAAATTCGATAGATTGTAGACATAAGCTAACTCATTTATACCAATGTTAAGACCCATGGAACGCTTAAGACGATCAATCCAGTAAAGGATCCTCCAAACCGTTGGCATGGCCTGGATATACGAGATTTTGGTAATCTCGAAGAGTTTAGAAATAATTCTGGAGAAGGGATAATAAAGACTTAAGGTGAAAGGGTACCCAGGAAAACAAACCCAAATTGAAGAAACAAAATATGGCTGGATCCTTGCATCAAAAGGCCTAAAAACAGTATCGGTAGGAAAATTTCCAAACGAATTCAGGGCTTTGATACTGTCGTCATCAAAGGTACAAGTTTCCTCGTAGGACAAGATTTTCTGGTCCACGAAATCATCATCGGGTATAGCAATTATGCTTGCGCGAGAGCAACATAATTTTTTGACCATGATTAAATATGAAGAAGGAAAAGGAGAAAAATAGACAAGAAAGGTAGCTTCGATGATATTCGATGAATGTAGGAGAGCAGAGCTAAAAGAGCAAGATAAAATCGGAAAGCTAGATATCCTATTTATAAAAGAATCACGGAAAGGTTAAAGGGTGATTTAACATATTCCAACGGCTAGAAATCAAACATTGAGATTTAAATTACCCTATCCGTTAAAACTATTATTTTTCTTTTTACTTTAAATTATACCTTTAAATATTTAAATATCGATCTTAATATTTCACAGGTATAATCTGGGGGCAATTGTTAGGGGCATGATTCCTGAATCATATTCAGGATCCTTAATATTTTTGAAGCTTCAGGATCTTTAAGCATATCTCAGGATCATAATTATTAACATTAATATTTTATAACACTTTTAACTGCTATATTCTACTTTCTTTTTCTCACATGTACGGAAATAGTAACAATAAGACCCATTCTCCAAGAAGAATCTTGTCAACCAGGCTAAAGACCTAGGAGAACCAAGTCAAAAAACGTGCATATATTCATTTCAGAGGATTCCGGAAATATCGGACTTATTGTTACTTAGTCTACACTATAAATAACACTTGTAAAAAACACACGAGACACATAATTAGCTATACTACTACATTTTTATTCATATTATCTTCATCATCTCTGTAATGTCATATTCAAATCAATAAAAAAAGCAAGACAGGTGATCATTATCACCTATAAAAGATCAAGGACATTATCGACAATGTTGTCAACAACTTTATCCAACATATTTTCATTTTCACTTTGTTGAAAAGTCTCTCCATGATTATTTGTTTCTTCAGCCTCATTATCGTTTTTCTCTTCATCATTCTCATTTTCATTGTTCTTTCCATCTTTCTCTTTTACTTCAGTTTCACCTTCTTTTTGATTGTTATCTCCATCATTCATTATTCCTTCATTCTCTACTTCGTTTGAATCAAGAAAATAATCTACTTCCGATTGACTTCCATCATTATAATTGTCTTCTTCACCATTTCCGTCTTTATCTTCATTTTCTTTTTTATCATTTGTTTTTTGACCCATTATTGGTGTCAAATTGATACCTTCAACTCCAGTTTCATTACTTTGAATTCAAAAAGTTTCGTGCTTTCAGTTTTTTCTTCAACAATTATATTTGTCATCTTTTCTTTGAAAATCCTAAAACTTTCCTTTTCAGGGAACTTTGTTATCGCATCATTGAGTTTTGAATTCAGCTTTTCCTTCATCCTCTCAAAACTATTAAGCATTTTAGATAATTTTGATTCATATGCCTATGTAATAAAAAGAAGTATGATTAGAAATTAATATAATAATTTAATGTAATCATATATTATTAACATGTTCAAAATAATGACCTCAACAGAATCATCTTCATCTTTATCAGAATCACTGTCTTCGAGATCTGTATCTCCTTCATCTTTTTCATTAACAAATTCTTCATTTAATTCTCCAAGTCCAAATCTACATTTTTCTTGTTCAAATGTCTCTCGATATCTAATCTTCTCTGAACTCCAATAACAAATTGTTGGACATTTATGTGCTACCGTTAAAGCTTCTAAGTGGATGTTATTAGCATAGAACAACTGCAGATAAATGATAATTAATTGATATTCATAAATGAATTTTATATATTCATATGAATATGCAAACCATTACTTATTCATATATGAATATATATTCATATATGAACAAGTAATATTATCTTTTACTTATTCATATATGAAAAAGTAATGTAAAGCATTACATGTGAACAAGTATATTTTACTTATTCATATATGAATATGTGCTATTCAGTTATGAATAATTAATATTATTAAAAATTGAATATAAACATTATAATAACTTACCACCAAGAAAGCTGAAGGTCCAAAAAAGTAGCTGGTATCTAAGTATGGTATGTATGAGTTCTTTGTTCTGACAAGGCAGTCCAAAACATAGTTGCACCAGTCTATGTTGCTGATATATGTTTTTCTTGAAATATAACTCAAAGGAAAAGGTTGCATCTTCCCATTGATGTTGACTCACAAAACGTGTTGACAAAAAGAACTAAGAAGTTAAATTTGAAATTGAAATCAATTTCTGTAGTACAAACAATAACTTTTTTATTGCATTCAGTCGGATGATTGATCCATCTTTAAATTGTTGCTTCTATTCATCATAACTTGTATCATCTTTAGGCCATTGATCCAGTTGTGTAAGTATGGTTCCACTAGTTGGAATGCCCAAGATGTCATGAACAGACTCTGATGTTACTTTCAGTTCCTTTCCTTCAACATCTATCACCATTCTCTCATAATCAAATTTTTGAAGAATATAAAATCCCAGATTTAGTGGTATATCTGTGATTTTCATTTTTAACAGACTTCCAAAACCCATAGATCTTACATATTCTTTTTGGTTTTTGCTAAACCTAAGAATTATAGATAGTAATGACTCTGGTGAACATCTGTTTTTCATCGAGTAAAATTCATTTACCACTTGTTTTTTTTTCTCTTTCTTGATTGGTGACTTCGTTTTCCTTGCCTTCTTTGATGGATGACTACTTTCAAAATCAGAGTCTAAATCATGTAGTTTTCATTTTTCAGGAGTTTTTCTTTTTTGATGGACTTTTTTTTCTTTGATGCTTTGTTTTCTTTGGTGTTTTTGTTTCTTTTATTTTCTGGGAAATGAAAACATATAATACTTGAATAAGTTGTAATTATTTATATATGAGTAGTGCAAATATATAACAGGTATATACAAGTTATTGATATATGAATATGATATATATATATATATATATATATATATATATATAAGCCATATATAGTTATTCATATATGAATATCCTCGTTGATTTATTAACATTTGTTTATTACAAATATATAATAGGGATATACAAGTTTATTCATATATGAATATATTAGATATAATAGGAATTTTATACCTTTGGCTTTTTTCCTCTTCAAATCTATTTCTCTCATTGTTGTTGGGTTTTTATCAGAAATGTCAATCTTCTTACCTTCATACATTAGTGAGTAGAAGATAAAAAAAAATTTAAAATACATTTTACAAAGAAACTATTTTATATTCATAAAGGAATAAATGAATATAACAGATATATCCATATTTATATATTCACATATGAATATATATGTTATATTCATATGTGAAGATACTGAAGATCAATCACCAATTTCAAAAGAAAATTGTTTCAAAACAAAACAACGTAAAGGTGTGAATAATTGTTTTCATTCACATATGATTAGCTTTTGAATACAAACAAAGTTAAGACATATATATTTATTCATATATGAATAAAGGAATTCAATAGTTTTTTTTAATATAAAACATATCCAGATTTAAGTATTCATATGTTAATAGAAGAAAACTATAGCAGGGATCTACAAGTTATTCATAAATGAATATAACAGATATATCCATATTTATATATTCACATATGAATATCTATGTTATATTCATATGTGAAGATACTAAAGATCAATCACCAATTTCAAAAGAAAAATGTTCCAAAATAAAACAACATAAAGGTATGAATAATTGTTTTCATTCACATATGATTAGCTTTTGAATACAAACAAAGCTAAGCCATATATATTTATTCATATATGAATACAGGAATTGAATAGGTTTTTCTAATATAAAATATATCCAGATTGAAGTATTCATATGTTAATAGAAAAAAATTATAGCAGGGATATACAAGTTATTCATAAATGAATATAACAAATATATCCATATTTATATATTCACATATGAATATATATGTTATATTCATACATGAAGATACTGAAGATCAATTACCAATTTCAAAAGAAAAATGTTCCAAAATAAAATAACATAAAGGTATGAATAATTGTTTCCATTCACATATGATAAGCTTTTGAATACAAACAAAGTTAAGCCATATATATTTATTCATATATGAATACATGAATTCAATAGTTTTTTTTAATATAAAACCTATCCAGATTGAAGTATTCATATGTTAATAGAAGAAAATTATAACAGGCATATACAAGTTATTCATAAAATATAGCAAGGATATACAGGATATGATATGAATTTTATACTTTGTGATTTTTCTGCATTGAACGTGTTTCTCTCATTGTTGGTGGGTCTTTATCAGAAATGTTAATCTTCTTACCTTCATTCATTAGTGAGTAGAAGATAAATGAATTTGATATACATTTTACAAAGAAACTATTTTTATATTCATAAATGAATATTTGAATAAAACATATATATTCATATTTGTTATTCACATATGAATATATGTGTTATATTTATATGTGAATAGAACATATATAAGTCATTTTTGTTGTATTCATATTTGAATAATGTATATATGACAACAAATTATGTTATATTCATATGTGAATAAAACATATATAACTTAGTTTTGTTTGTGTTCAGAAGTAAATAAAACATATCAAAACAAAATTATCTTCAATATCTTCATTTTTTGTTGTATTTTTAAGTAAAATCTCATCTAAATGTTGGAAATCACATATGAATAAAATTAATCATATCTAAATGGAATACCTATTTTATTTGCCTTTTTCATTGGTTTTTGTTTTTCGTTTATATATATGCTTCACTGTTGGTGTTGTTTCTGTATGGGTAAGTAGTTAATATTAGGACAATGTAAGCGAAATGTGAAGTAACGTTTATATTTTAACAGAAAAGTTGTGAATAAGTATGAAAAATGAAGAGAAGATGAAAAATCATTTATCTATCAACTAATAACGGATGCTTATTACAAAATTTTCAAGTAAATCAAGTAATAATGAAGGAGGGTTACGAGAATGAACGAGGATCACAAAATTTGAAGTAAACAACCTAGTTTGAAGAATGAACAGTGTGAATACAAAATGTTTAGTTCCAAATCAACTAATAATGAATGACGATTACAAAAAATTTCAAGAAATCAAGTGATAAGTTTACAAATGATTACAAATCGTTAAAAAGCGAAGGAAAAAACGCCGATGATTACCTTTCATAGTCAACAGTGAGGAAATTGTTTCGTTTAGGTTTTCTTCGGAAGACATTTTTCTTCGATTTGTTCTTCGCGATGTTGAGAATGCTTTTGTGATTGAATCCTTCTGCAAGTGGTTTTCGTGTTATAGGGAAACAATGATGTGTTCGAAGAGGAAATGATGGTTTTGCTGTCGAGATTTAATGTGTGATGAAATTACTCAAGTGCCCTGACGGTTTAATGTTTTTGGATTATTCACCAGTTTGCCATCGCTCATTAATGTATTTGGATTATTTACAAGTTTGCCACCGCGTCTTTATGTTTTTTAAGCTCATTAAATGATTGGCTGAGAATGATTCCCCCATTCTCAACCTTTTTTTTCTCAATTGAACCCTCCTATATATATATATATATATATATATATATATATATATATATATATAGAGAGAGAGAGAGAGAAAAAAAAAGGATCATTTGAGAACCTATAGTTTCCCGAGAACCCGAGAACCAAACAAGGACCGTTAGATCAAAATAATAGACGGTCAAGATGATCTATGGCATTTTTGTAAATAGTTAGAGAAAATAAGACACAGGGGTAAAGAAATTGAAATGAATCAAGGGCATTTTAGGAATTATTTTAATTCCCTGATTAAACCTCTAATTTATGTCTCTCTCTCTCTCTCTCTCTCTCTCTCTCTCTCTCTTTCCCTCTTTCACATTATCTTATTCACCGTATCTTTTCCCTTTTCGTCCCTCCTCTATTGATCGACCACCTCTACCTCTGCAGACTACTACAAATCCACTGTTATTCATCTCCAAATCATCGATGAATAATCCACGATCCAAGAGATCGATGATGGTCGTGTTCATCTATCTAGGTTTTATATTCAATTAAGTCGAAAGTGCTTTTTATTCTTTACTGAAATCAGAAATTCATCATATCAACTTGATAATCGAGATTTTTATAGGTTCTGATTTGCGTTGACTTCCAATCCACAATACCTAATTTCTAAATCGTCGGCAGATAATTGACGAAACAACAAATCGACACCATTCCGCAGATTAACAGATCTAATCTATTCTGAAATAGCCATTGCCAACTATGAAGGTATTGATCATGTTTTCGTATGATTTTCCGATCAAATAATCAAAGACGAATTCCATGTTCATCACAAATCAAGTATGTTTATCTAAATCCTTAGGAGGTATTTACAATAGATACGTCGCTGCTTGTTTCCTGTTGATTTTGTACATCTTGAGTGTTTGTGATTTTGTATTCTCTCGATCTTGATCTCACAATCTGCCCTAATCCACCTCTGGATACTATTGATCGACCACAGTTACTGTTAATTTCAACAAAAATCAATATAGAAGGTTGATTATGCTAAGAAAGCAGCACCAGTTGCTGTTGAAACCAAGGTGTGTGTTGATGTATTGAATTTGACCCTACACCAGTTTCTACTATAATTAAGCATGATGATAAGGTCCACCAAGAATACGATGAAGGATCTGTGACACTAAACTCAAATAATTTCGATAAAATTTCTCATCAGTAAGTGAAGTCAAGTCAAGTTAAGTAACTAATCTCATTTTTGGGCAATATACTCATAACTTACAACAACAAAACATTTTTGTTTGGTCAAAGTGTAGGCATGCGATTTTGGTTGTAAATTTATTTGCTCCCTGATGCTATTGAAGTAGTCGTATGGTATGCTTATTTACCATGTATTAAATCAACTTTAAGGTTTGAATTTTTTACAAGTTAATATGCATGCCAATTTAAATATATTGAAAAAAAGAACAATTGATTTTGGAATATAAGGGTAAAACGGTAATTTTGTCTAACTGAGATGGTTTACTTAGTTCTAGAAAATTTGGCGGACCAACTGAAAAGCTAGCTGTTAAAAAATGATGTTTGGTAAAACTAGTTGTAGCTGAAATATGTGAAATGACATAAAAGGGCATGTAGAAGATTTATTTTTATATAATTAATAAGGGGTATATTTGGAAGAATTATTAAAAAGTTCAATATTTATATACCAGACTTCCATCTACTGCACGGATCACAGGACCAGCACCTGCAGGTCCAACGTTATTTTTGGCTGCACCATCAAACTCAAGAATACAGGAGCATTGAGAACATAAAGATTAAAGACAGTTTTAGTTAATTATTAAAGATGATTATAAACTTATAATTACTGGAAATGAAGAACATGAAGACTCCACTCAATGGTGTGAAAGCTTACACAATAAGCAGAAATTGGTAAGGCCTCTATAAAGCTTTTTGTTTCGGGTAACTGTCTTTGAGAAGCTTCTGATAATGAAGTTGATCCAACAACATCTTTATGTGTAAAAAAACACAAATCATAAAATTTAGACATGAAAGAAGTTTGTTACATCTTCAAATTGTAGAGAAATGCGAGTTGGAGAATAAAGTGGTTCCCAAAAGGCCAATAAGTTTCTACAACCTGTTTAGAAAAGTAGAACAAACATGTGGTAATAAGTCTTCTTCATTGTTCTTTTACTACATCTTTCAACTTTCATTTTTATTCATATTTTACAAGTTCATCTAAGAGGACACTCTCCATTAATAAACAGTTATACACCATTGCTGATTTTATATGCAGACTCAAGTCTCAACTACTATTGGAAGCCTTTTTCAATTTCACTGAGAGATTAAAAAAAAGAATCTAAGCAGGGAGCAAATCTTTAGAGTTGAAGTATAATGAAGTAGAAGCATCAATGAACATAAAAAGATCATACATAAGCTACTGTCAGGGATATAAGTCAAGTGTTAGAGAAAGAGATCAAAAATTACATACTCAACATTAGAAAGAGAACAAATGAAGTAAAGGAAGGTAAGCTCTACTGTTCCATGTCACTTTATTTGAGTCATTAACCTTCATTATAAAACAATCACTTACATGGTTAAAAAAGATTAGATTGAAAATAATAATAATTTGTCAATTTAATCAGGAAACAAATGCCCTTGATGTTAGATCAATGCATGTAGAAAAAAGGGGCTCCAATGCTCACTTTTATGAAAATGCTCCTATTTTAATCACCATTAAACTTAAGTGATTGTTTTGATAAATTATTTAATTTCTATGATTGCATTAATTTTAGTAATTATGAAGAGCTCTCTCAACTTACTTGATTTGTGCAGGACATTGCACTAGTAGCAGAGAGCGAGTCAAAATGGAAGCAATTGGGTTAATTAGCCATGTCTGCTGGATTGGTATTTTTCGTTTCAAAAATTGAATTATTTTTTAAAATGTTTTTTTAACAATATTTATGATTGGAATGCAGTTGGACATGGCAGAGGATTGTTTGAAACATGCAAACGATTTGAGTGGTTTACTACTTCTTTACTCGTCTTTAGGAGATGCTGAAGAGACTTCAAACTTGCATCTTTTGCTAAAGAAAACAGAAAAAACAATGTTGCATTCGCTTGTCTCTTTATGTTGGGCAAATTAGAAAACTGTTTACAGTTGTTAATTGACAGGTCACCCCGTTAATTAATCATCCCATCCCATTTTATAATATAAAATCAAACACATTTAACATTTATTAAAATACAATTACTGTCCTTCCATTCCAGCAATCGGATGCATGAAGCTGCTCTAATGGCACGATCTTATCTTCCCAACAAGGTTTCAGAGATAGTCGCCCTTTGGAAAAAAGCCCTTAACAAGGTTAATTTCGGAATTCCACTACTTTTTTCATATTTATTTTCTCTGTTTAGAATATATCAAAATTTAAACTTATGATGATGATAGCAGGTTAACGAGAAAACTGCAGAGTCTTTAGCGGACCCTCAAGAGTACCCCCGAATATGTTTGAGGACTGACAAATTGCACTTGAGGTTGAAGAAAAGGCTGTAGAGATAAGGTTTCATTTATTTTTCTTCTTATAACTTATTATATATACATATTATTGTGGATTTAAGTTTAATGGTGCTATTGGAGTAGTCGTTTGGTATGCTTATTCACGAGTGAATCACATATGAATTATATGTGATTCACATATAAATCACATGTGATTCAAATATAAATCACATGTAATTCACATATGAATAACATGTAATTCACAAGCGAATCACATATAAGTCACATGTGATTAGCAGATAAATCACAAGTGAATCACATATGAATTACATGTGATTCACATATAAATCACATGTGATTCACATATAAATAATATGTAATTCACATATAAATCACATGTAATTCACAAGAGAATCACATATAAAATATGAATTACATATGATTCACATATAAATCACATGTAATTCACATATGAATCACATGTAATTCACAAGTGAATCAAATATGAATTACATATGATTCATATATAAATCACATGTGATTCACATATAAATCACATGTAATTCATATGTAAGTCACAAGTGAATCACATATAAATTACGTATGCACACATGCATTTTGTGTGAGTGTTCTTCATTTTTATTTTCTTGTGAATTTCACATTTGAGTTTTAAAAGATGCAAGCACATGTGAATATCACATTATATAATCGCATGTGAATCTTACATGATATATACATATGCATTTTTGTGAGTGTTCTTGTATTAATCTTTTTTTTTGTAGATTTGAAAATTTTTGTGGAAAATTTTAAAGATGCAAAAAGTGATAAATTGAAGAAAATATGGAAATCTTGATATGAAGAAATGATAATACTGTGAATCTTTGTAGCTTTTTTTATTTTTTATATTTTATTTTGTATCGAACAAATTACTTGTACTATTATGTTTATAAATTGATTAATAAAAATAAGATTTTTTATGATTACTTACGAATATTATAGTATAAGAAATATGCATATATACATTTGAAAAAATATGCATATATGCACCTAAAACGTTGATTTTTTTTGTTAAAGAAATTAGGTTTTTTTTTAAATATTCTAGTTTTTTTTAATTACTGATTTTTAAAAATTTACTTTTTCAAAAAATGCAATTTTTTAAAAAAAAAATTGGAGTTTTTTTGAAAAAAAAATGCAGTTTTTTTAAAAAAACAGTTTTTTTTGAAAAAAAAAATGCAGTTTTTTTTTTAAAAAAGCAGTTTTAAAAAAAATGCAGTTTTTTTTTTTGAAAAAATTACAGTTTTTTTTAGAAATTACTTTTTTTCAATTTTTTTTAAATTCATTTTTTCAAAAAAATATTAAAAAATCTCCATTTTTAAAAAAAAATCAAAAATGTTTTAAAAAAAATCCGAAATTTGATTTATCATGTTAATTTTGTCCAATAACACAAAAAATAAACATTAAATGAGATCTATATGATTACGATCATGTCATTAGTGAGTTAATTTTGATCTAACGCTCCACATTTAGTTCTCAGGTTCTGAGGAAACTATGAGTTTTCAACCGATCTCACCATATATATATATATATATATATATATATATATATATATATATATATATATATATATATATATATAATTGTTCCATATACACTTCGAGCTCTTTTCTAAGTCAACATAATTTTGTACCGCCTCAATTCGTCTTATACGTGTATGGGCATGATGTATTCAGGCATGATCTGGATATTAGGAATATGATATAAAAAAAAATGTTTCTGCACGCCACTATTTCACCCTTTTTACAGTTTATTAATCATCAAAACTAAATATCTCACAATTCAACTTGTCGATGCCTCTAATGTACATTGAACTTTTTTACATATTGAAACAAAGCGAGCACATGCCAAAGCCTTTATGAGTTCATAAATAAATTCATTACTTTGGCTTTAAGGATTATTATTTAGTGGTATTTGACCACATGCATTATGCCCTAAAGAACTATTTTCGTAAGGCCTCTAGGTCCCTACAATAACAATAATAAACAAAAATACAATTAAACCATTAAAACAAAAAAAGCTAAAATCGTAGACATGTCTCGTGAGTAAAGATATTCAATCAACTTATTTATTGAAATTAGATCTTATGAAAATTCTTGATCGTTACATTGAGAATTTCATCAAACTAACCAATTTTTTTGAAAATCCAAAAACACTTCATTTGAGATATTTCATCAATAACGTGTCATGCACTACAACAAACTCATATCAAAGTATGGCTATAACTCGACTTTACCTAGAATCCAACAACAGTAAATTCCAAATTCAATGGGATAGGAAAGAAATCACAAATTTTACGTGGTGGATTTAATAACAAAAATCAAAATTGAACGGATGAGGATACCAATTGAATTGCATCTGTAGATAAAATTTGAAACAATAATCATGGAGAATCACCGAAGGAAAAATTGAATTATTTGATAAAAAAACTCTGGGAAGAGCAATCTGGATCGAAGGCAGAAGTTTGAGTCGTACAAGAAAAAAAAAGCAATTGATTGAGTTTACCCCAAAACAACACGTGTTCTACATTCTATACTTAATATTATATACACAACGCGATATATTCCCTGTGCCTATATATATATATATATATATATATAATATATATATATATTATATATATATATATACACCACAAAAACCAATAGCGACTGAATCATGTCTAAAACTTCTCGAAAGCAACTTACGTTTATCTCTTTCAATTTCATATACTTGCTAAACGTTGTCACCATTGCTCAAAACAATTATGTTGACAGAGTTTGTGATAACGACTACACTTACATTGTCAACGGTACCTTCCGCACAAATCTTGACAAGACGTTGGCCGATCTACCCACCACCAACTCCGGTCATGGTTTCTTCAATAGCTCTTCAGGAGAATATCCCCACACAGCATATGCGATTGGTCTTTGCCGGGGTGACCATACAGATCAGATTGCATGTGGTAGTTGTTTGGACACGTCTATAGTGAAATTGAGGAACGTCTGCCCAAAACAAAAAGATGCAAGTGTATATTATGATAATTGTATGGTGAAGTATTCATACGATGTTATTTTGTATAGAAATAGTCAAAAACATTTTAACATCCACAATAGCACTATTTACTCGAAAGATGTTTTTGGTTTCAACCGGAGTGCGTTAGGGTTGGTGAAAAACCTCACGATTAAAGCTGCTGCTGGTGGTCCGCTGCTGAAGTACGCAGCTGGCACTACCCCACAGCCTAATTTAACGATGATTTATGGGTTTGTGCAATGTACACCGGATCTAACGGAGCAACAATGCAGCAATTGCTTGGATGATGCAGTTTCTCGTATTGGTAGTTGTTGTTTTGGTAAACTTGGGGTGAGGGTGCTTTTGCCTAAATGCAATTTACGATATGAAAATTACCGGTTTTATGATGACCGGGTGATAGTTTCTACTCCGACACCGACTTGTCAAGGTACGTACTTTGTGATTTCAGACTACATATTCTTGACGGTATAGAGAGGTGCGTTTTACTAAAGTTATTCTATATTAATAACTAAGTGGCGTTTATTTTTAACGGCGGAATTCGAAATTATATTTTCAGTATAAATAATTAATATATTTTGAACGGTTGTGAAACAAA